TGGTGATGCTGGTGGTGGTAGTGGTTTATTGTTTCTTCTAACAACAACTTCAGCAGAAGTGCCAGCACAAATCAGTCTCTCCATACACTTCCAGCAGAATTGCAGCCTCCTGCAGTACTTGCTCTTTACACCACAACCTCTCTCAGTAGCCGTGAATTCCTTTGGAGGCTTGTTTGACCAACATCCAGAGAGCATACAAGTCTTGAGGACACTTAGTCATAAACTGAGCTACTCTGTCAGTTCCTGCACCAGCTTCTGGTGCCCCACTGTTCAACGCACAAGGAGGAGGTCTTCTTCTTCTGGTGACAAGAACAGGAGCCACCATAGCAGCTCTCTGGGATGACTCAATTGCACTATTAAGCTTCTGGTTGAACTTGGCTCGTCTGCTTGCAAGCTTTGATGCAATGTTGATAGTATCTGCTGGCCCCCAAGCAAGCTCCTGGGTGTCAGTGGTGCATTGATCCTGTTACCTTCTAGTAGACTTCCATCTAGCTCTATAATCCACATCATCCCTAGGGCCACCTCTCTGTCTTGCAAGAGTAGTGGCTGACTTCTGAAAGGAGTGAGTGCCAACAAGCTTCTCTTTCAGCAACAAAGGCTTCGTCATTATTGAACACATAGTAGTGTTTGATAAAATTAGAGTACTGGTTCTTCCCTTTATTCACCTCTTTGTCTCTAGTATATCCTTTAATGGGGACCCCCTATCAGTAGTTCCTTCAGTAAATAGTAGCCACTAGTAGTTTCTTGCACCATCACCACCATCCTTGCACCATCTTTCAAGGAATAAAGTGTGGGGAGGTCAATGCTGTGCCTGTTGTTGAGCTGTTAGTACCATTGTTGTTTGCTTCCTCTTGCTGTTGCTGCTTTTTGATACTTCTTCTTCTTAGTACTTTTGCAATTTTAGCTTGCGATTTTAGCTTTACTAAAATGGTTATCTTGTGAGCCGCTATTTTGCAAGCTAATTTTTTAGCGCAAAATTAATGCACCTTGTGTGAGTCAACAAGAGGGAGTTGCAAAATGGATGCATTCTTCTTCTTAGTACTGCATTTTACTAGACTGTTTTTCTTGGCAACCAAAATAGGTACAGAACAACAASAAGAAGCGACCAAAACAAAAACAATAATGTGGTTGCTCAGTAGAATTTCTACCAAAAAAGATGTAGCACATGCTAGTATGGTGGTAAATAGAGTGGTAGAAGTACTAAGTAATGTACTAAAGCCTCAGTAGGTTCTCCACCAATTTTGACCAGTGTACCGTACGTACGAAGCATACGTTTCTCTTCCTTATTTTTCTCTGCTTCTTTCTTGATGAGAGATGAAGAAACAAGAAACAATACCTCTGACGAGAGAGGCCCGAAAGGATCGCACGTGTTTTCTCTCCCAACGGCTCGAAAAACTTACATTTACCGATACAGTAGAAAATTCCGAAAGGATTGCCGGCGCGATCATTCAGCGTGTTTGGGTTGGAATTGTACCTGTACCGTACGTACGCTAACCGCCAACATCGAGTGATACCGGTACATTCTACAGAGGCGATTCAAAGTTTTGCCTAATGAGCGGCCCTGCACGCAGGTCAACGCACTCGTTGAATCCTCTCGTACGTAGCGTTACCATACGGAGCTCCTTCCACGGCGACAAAATTGCAATCATTCGTTGCGTGCCGTACGTACCGGTACGGTACCAGGTACGTCGCTTGCCTTGCCTTGACGGTATTGGCATACGAGAAACGAGAACGAAGCACAGTAGCCGGTAACGGTACGATACTCGTACCCCCGAAATCAAAKTGTGCACGATTAGGGAATCATCGCTCAACTGCTCTAGTAGGACATCATACCGTACAGTGTGTACATGAATTTTACGTAACGAGGGGATTCACTGCACTCGTACTCGTACGAGTTCATCAATTTATTTTTTTGCCATCTCATACGTACGTACCTGCAGTACTAAATGTTACGGCACCGGATTCTGTTGTTTGTCTCACATCCAATGCAGTAAACGAAAAAGAGTCACTGAAAAKACGAAAAGAATCGAAATCCCCTCGGCCCACACCTCTGAAAGGGTCCATCCATTCACCTCGCTGCATCGTACCCACTGACGCTAGGTGACTGAATCTAACCAGTGACTACCCTGGAGATAGAAAACATCGAATCCTATCTCATCGCATCGAGAAAGATAGGCCAAGTCCTCGTTCCACATCCAATCCAACATGTCCGCCGCAGGCTCCGAATTCCGCCAGCGAGGCGTCAACCGATCCCAGGCGCAAGCTCCTCCCCCCCCGCAACGCCGGGCATCGACTTCGAGCAGCCTGCCGCGGCCCGGGTACTCGTCCGCTCCACGACCCAGCCCGAAACCAATCCAGAGACAAAACCGTAGCTTTTCGAATTCATCGATCGGCGGCTCKGTTCCCTTTTCGTCCTCGCCGTCGTCCTCCCAGGCACAGAGATCGGGATCCTTCACCGGKTATCCAAGCACCGCGCAGGCGTACAATCCCAATGCCAGCTCGTCCAGCTTGAACAGCGGTTACGGAGGATACGGAGGCAGCGCCAACACYACCATGAATGGTGGTTACGGAATGAACGGTGCCGGAGCCAGCAATGGAATGAGCAACAACGTCGGCTACGGGAGAGACGACGCCGACCAAAATAAATACGGCAAAAAGCCCAACCGCAAGGGAGGAAGCAGCAGCTTCACGGGCGGCATGGGCTTTGTTGTCGGAGGCATTGGCCTCTTCTGCTACGCCATTCTTATGACGACGCTCTATTGGTCCAAAAGCTCCCAGACAAAATCGATGCTCTCTCGACTAGACTTGCCCGACACACTCACCGTCATTGAAACAATGGAGAGCATAAAGCGGCAGTTGAAATCGAGTGAGTCGATGCGACAACGGAACGAGCAGGCGACCAAGWCCAAGCACRGCAACGAGATCAACACCCTGGAACGATCCAACCGTWTGCTGAAGGAACAATTGGAACACCACACGGATRTCGTKGTACCGGARGCCCGCGRTAAGATCGAGAAGCACACGAGGCGAGAAAAGGCTTTTGCAGATCAGATTGGGTGGTTGATGGACGCAACGAGAAGGGAATCGAAGCGGATGGTGTTGGAAAGGTACGAGTGCGATTGAAAATACGCGTAGTGTTGGCTGATGTTATGGAAACAAAGAGATCAATTWAAAAGGGCTAAAAATTGGAACAGCGAGAATTCTTACAAAATGCTATGGTTCCTCTCACAACAATATTTTACCTTCTTTTTGGTTTTCGGATTCTCATTTGATTGTATCTCACCCATTTTATTTGCTGATTTCTGYTATGTCGGTCGTTTCTCTCTGAATTGCAATCTGTCATGAAATCTTGATTACACGCCGTTCTCTTTATCCCGATTTTCGACAATTTGAAACGTTACAAAACAAACAGATTCGGTCCAGGTCCTCATAAAGTCTCGGTCCACTATTTGATCCCCGAAGACCCGMTGAAATCTGACGGGCCGAAAATTAAAAAAAAATTCCAAATTGATTTGGCACCTCTAGATCTGGTCCCTCACGCYATTCATCTTTTTTTGGAGCAGGTCGATCATGGATTGTTGGACGGTACACACTTTTATTTGAACGGCCCCCACATTGTGCAGGCGGGTCCCCAACCAGAGTGGGGACATACCGCCGTCGACGGCAACGACGACACATTTTATCAACACCACCCCAAGAAAGAAGAGCTGAGCAACTCTGCCATTGGAACCATGGAAAAATATGAAAAGCAGGCACAAAAGAAAAAACAAGAAGACCATGGTCATGATGACAGGTTTGATGATGACGACGACGATATGTACGAAAACTATTTCAATGAAGAAGACTACGCCATAGAGGACAAACGCACCCAGAGATTCGCCGATATGGGGTTGGAACAATTGGCCTTTCCCGATTATCACCAAGAATGGCCCCACGATGCATGGACGGTCGGATTTACTGGCCGGCCCGGTGGACCTGACTGGTATATCAACAAGGTCGACAACAGGCAGGGACATGGACCCGGTGGGCAGTACCAGTACGCCCTCAACGAACAAGGAGATTCCTGTTTTGGGGTCATTTCGGGTGGTCCCCAACGTGAAGAAGTGGTTAAAGATATTTATACTGGCGGTATCTACGGGGACAATTCCGAATGGCACCATTTCATGACTCACCCTATCGAGATTGYCCATGCTGAAATTCTCACCAAGGAGCCAATGATGGATAAGCACATCCATCTGACACACCTGAMGAGCCAGCACAAGGTCTACAACCACCGGAAGAAACATCGCCACATCGACGAGGAACTGCTTCCGGAATCCACCATTCACCACGGCGAAGGCGTCGATCCCAACARTCTGCCAAACCACTTGAAAGAAAGGCTGGCCTACAAAAAGAAGGGTGCCAAGATATCCATCAATAAGGTTAAGCATGGACATCGACCCCACATCGATGGAGCTGCAGAGGCATAAGACAAGAAAAAAATATCAACGTTTGAAGACATTAAGTCGCCATTGCATACTAATATTCTATTATACAACCATACCCACATTTTGTGTTTCATCTTGATTGCGATCCGTCGAAACATTTCGTCATTACTACTGGATAGAGGAGCTCGGCATTCTGATCGGCATCGGCTGCCCTTATGGCATCCGTAATGGGAGATCGACCGGAGGGCATTTCAATGAATCGACACAAAGCGATGTTCGTGYAGAGCCTCTAAGACATCGTTTGGGCGGCATAAATATGCGCGATGGTTCTTCGCTCGTGCCGTCCTGAATGGCGTTCACAACTTTGTGGATGCTACTACTACTAGCAATCSACGTCATGTTAGCAACCCCCCTTCCCACGATGGCTACGCTACCGTACGGCACCTTGATGAGCATTGTATCAGGACTTCTGTGGTCGCACCGGGACCGATGTTTCTGTCCTCGATAAGACGGAAGCTGCTCCGGGTCCCAGAACCKCTCCCAACGCGTTCCTTTCTTTCTCTTCCCGTTCAAGCATAGCCAAGAGAGAGGTGCAARAGTTGGATCACMCACGCCAACTCTGTTGTAGCTCTTATATTCGTCGAGTAAGCTACAAGAGGACTCGTATCGAAGAGAACTTACTTGATGTTGTGACAACAGATACAAACTAGGACGAATTGAACACTTCCAATCGCCTTCCAGAAGATGTTTCAACAAATACACCTGTTTAATGTTATAAATCAATCAACTGTTTCCTCATTTTCTTCCAGCTGCAAAAAGCCCGATATTCACGTACGAATCGGTGGGATCCCGAACGTGCAATTCGTTCAGGATCTGTATCACCCACGCGCTCTTCCGTTGGCCCTGGTTGGTCTTGTAGCGGTAATCCACGCGGCGGCTCATGAACACCAGGGACTGGTCCCGTCCGGCACTGCCAAAGAGACCCTTTCCGGAATTTGGGTCTCCCTCGGGGCCTACCAGCATGATTTTCAGCGCGTCCGGCGGCGTCATGTAGAGGGTCAGCAACTCCCTCAAGATATCCCAGTGCTCGTGCTTTGTTCCCGCCAGCATGGCAACCGATCGCAGGGCTTCCACGTCGCGAGCCAGGATCACGGCGCCAGCGGTAGACACGTACCAGTTCTGCAGCAACCGGGTCACGAGAATGTCGTACAATCTCATCGACAACGCAGACCAAAAGGCAGAGAGCGACTGGGGCGTCAGTGCGGCCTGGATGTGTACAAACTGCACGCGGAGGCAATACGTCAGAGACTTCACAGCGGGGTTATTTGGTGCTTCCAATGCCGCTCCCGAGTTCATGGCATACGGTCCTCCCGAACTGCCGACGTTCGATTTGAACAAGCCCCCGCCAGACGACAGTGCCGCCTCGCTTCCGGTAACCAAGATCCACTGGATATGAGCACTTAGTGTGTCGAGGGCTCGAAGGATGGCGTCTTCTCCTCGGCTTTCGAGTTCGTTGAAGAAATCAACCCGGCAATCCCTCGCCAGAGCTATAGTATTGCCGGAATCCGATGCGTCACCGCCGGATGACAAAATGTCCCAAACACGGTTTGATCCCTTTCTCGGCTCGGCCCACAATTCCCGATCAAAGGCTTTTGCTGCCGAATGAATTCGTTCCAGTGCCACCCAGAACGCTGGATCAATACCCAGGTCGTGAGCGGGTTGCTCTTCGTCAAAGGGCAACTGAGGGGCTTGGTGCGGAGGGTTCGACTTGAGCATTTCTTGGAGTGCCTCGACAATGGGATACAAAAATCCCTGCCCGTAAAATATGCACATCTGGTGGTAGATGCTTGTAACGACGCGCGACGCGGATTCGCCCACCTCCTTTCCGTTTCCAAACATCAATCGAGCTCTGGCTAGGGAATCGGTGGCGTGAATCAACGGCTGTCGCAGGACACTCGATTTCAGTGGACCACTCAGGATATCGTTGAACCCCGACTTCTTGAGAGAATTTTTCTCGAGCGACAAGTGTGGCGCCTGGTACTCCTCAAGAATGCCCTTGTCGAGAAGATTCTGGTTCATCTTCATGGGGGTGGGTCGTGTCAAAATGCATCCTGCCTGGTCCAACGAAGCGCAGCACTCGTGGTGCAGCAGCCGTAGCTCCAGGTTCAAGTATCCCGTGCGATGGCTGTTGTTGAGGGAGATTTCTTGGGAGTTTAAAAACACCTTGAGGCTTTCTACCGCGTTTCTGGCCTTGGTTCCCGCGTTCTTGTCTCGCACGAGGCTCTCCGCGGCATCTTTCAGCAATTCAAACAAACTCGCGGCCTTGTCGTGAATGATGACAAAGGTGTCGAGTTTCTTTGTTCCGGTATCAAAATCGCTTTTTCTGTCAATCTTGTCCAGAAGAGAATTGATCTTTGCTTGCAGACCATTTTTGGGATCCCCAATGACACGCACGCAGAGCGCTCTGGCAACCGTCAGAGGGATGCTTTCGGTTAGCGCGCCGTCCGCTTCGTCTGAATAGTCAAAGACGTGTCCGATCAGCTGGAATTCCTGCGTGAATACTTCAGAGACCCGGTTGAACAGGCTCGAGAGCTGGGTTCTCGCGGTGTCCATGTCAAACTCCTCTTCTTCCTCCTTTTCTTCTCCGTCGACCATTCCCACTCGTTTCATCTTCTCCGTATCGAAAAGCTCTGGCAGCCTCGTCGCGACAACAATATCCACGTAGGTTTCGAAAAGCCTTCGCCCTCCCTCAAACATCCAGCAGGCACGGGCAATGTTCCGGAGTTCTTGCCAGTTGATGGTTCCGGCTCGGCCCATGGCACCGAATTCGTAGGCACCACCCCGGCCGTAGATGTCCGAGAAAGAATTCAACAGACGTTCTTCGAGCGCTTCGCTGGTTCTCCGGATCAAGTCCGCGGTCAGATCGAACCGCCGGCTAGAGGTCACGTCGGATTTTTCCCACTTGCCCGTTTGCATGTTCGCCGAGGCCGCGTTTCCCCGCGACTTCACGACCTGCCGCAGCCTCCGGAGCGTCCGGCTGGCTTCGATGCTGTTTTCTGGCCGTGTAAAGAGTGGGTCCATCCGGCAGCTCGTGAGGGGCACGGCTCCCCGCACCTCTTCCGTCACCTTGAGTGGCTCCCCCGACAGGTTCTCTTGCTCCGCGAGGGATTCCATCAACCACCATCGACGAATGAGCATCGAGGCCGATTCGCATCGCTTTCTCTTCGATTCGGCAAATTCCAGCTGGTTGCCGATTTGCAGTGCGGCCCGTCCGTTGATACGAAACTGGTTTTGGATCTCTTCCGTCCGTACCAGCGCGTTGCGGCAAAACAGCTCGTGTGCTTCTAACCGAATCTGGTAGGCATCTGCAACTTCTAAAACGGCGTCGGTCGAGTCTTTCGTCACCTGTCGAGTGACGTCTACTAGAGTGCTACACATATTGGCAGCCTGGCTGAAGGATTCTGTCATGCCATCCTCCTTTGAAACGCATTGGAAGGCAACACAGCACGGTTTTCGCAGCAATATTTTTCCATTTTGCATTGTAAAACACATTTGACCAGCCGTTTTGTACCCGATGGAAAAACGAAAAAAGGAGCAATTCACCAACCAATCGCGATCGAACAGGAAAGAGTCACGGCACACAAGAGTCAGGGACGGAAATCAAAGAGAGGGACAAGCCTGCAAATTCCACAAATGCGCCGCCGTGCCGGCAGCGTCTCACGATACGGTACGTACCTCGCCAATGATTTCTCTCAGTTTTTCCAGCAGGTCCAAAAAGTCCATTTTTTCCTTGCTTTCCGGCTCGTCGAGCTGCGCCGCCTGGGCCACCCCACCGGCCTCTCCCGGGCCAGGGGCGTTCGGCAGGCCACGCTGGTCGATGTCCTCCAGCCGGGCGGGGGGGTCGTAGACATAGAGTTCCAGCGCGCGCTGCCACCGTGCCAGCTGGATAGCCGTGGCTTCCTTGGCCGTCAGGCCGGTGGTGTTCCGCTCCAGCAGTTCCTTGACGATCAGGCGGCGTTCCATGTCGAGTTTTCCCAGGAGGAGCTCCCTCTCGTGCAGACGTTGCTGCCGGCTCAGGTAGAGCTGGTCGTTTTCGATTTTGTAGGTCGAGAGCAGCTTCGTGTCTCGGTATTTGGCGGCCTGCTGGCGGGCCCGGTGGAGCCGAATGTCGTCCTGGGCGGCCGCCAGGAGACTCCTCAGGCTCGGAAAGCCGTTGGACTTCAGAGCCGCGTTTGCCCCGCCATGGCTCTGTGCCGTCTTTGGGAGATAGTAGAGAATCGGTTCCGCCTTTTCGGGTTTCGACAGGTATTCCTTCGGAATGGTCAGCAAGAGGTTCTTGTTCTTGTTGTCGTTGTACGTGCGTTCGCTCCGCAGCGATCCATCGCCGCCCGAGGACTTGCCCGAGGATTTTCCCGAGGACTTTTTGCCCTCCGATTTCTTCCGTGACGAGACTGTGTCGCCGGACTGGGTGCGGCGGACCCCGCGGCGGAGGTCGGTGTCGCCCGATTTCGTTCTCTTTGGTTTCGTTCGTCTCGGGGATTTCCCCCTCCGGGGAGACTTTCCGCGCTGTTGTTGCTGTTGTTGTTGCTGCGAGGAAGCGCCCGAGGATTTCACCCTTCCGGATTTGGTGCGTTCCAGGTTGGGTTCGCGAGACCTAGATCGCCGCATGGTGCGATTCCGTTTGGTTCCTTTTCGTTTTGTTTCGTTTCGATTCGATTCGATACGATACGATACGATGCTTTGGTGTGGATTGGTGTTTGTTCGGGAACGCTTTCGGCCAAAAAGGGTCGGACAGGGGTGGAGTGGGGTGACCTGCGGTAGGCTAAGGTGAGCTAAGGTAAGCTAGGGTAAGCTAGGGTAGGATTCGACGCCGCCCAAGAGAACAGATCCGTGGTGAAGGATGCTAAAATAGTAGAAGTAGTGATGACAAAAATGATGACAACAAGTAAATGTACGAGGATCGTACGAATTCTACCTTGCAGGTACGTACGGAAATGTTATTTTCATGCAGCAACAGGGAATGCCAATACTGGGCTGCAACGGAAGCATAGCGAGTGCAGCAAGTACTACCTGGTACGTACAACGTACCACTGTACCGGAAGAGATCCCTCGTGAGGATGTCCTTTTGAATGTGACTGTTGGAAAAATGATTTGAGAGATGGTGATTGATTCGAATTGATTCGAATCAGTCGGAACTAGTTAGAACCAGTACGAGTAATAGGTACGGTACCTGCCGGCCCGTACTAGGGTACGTAGTAGCACGTCCTGCATCCAAGTTGGTACAACAAATGTACTACGTACTACTTGTACTGTGACGTAGTACTAATATCAGTAATACATCATTATTACTGTTGTTAATAGTAGATTACTAATGCTTCTAGTAGTAGTAGTTCTTGCACCACCACCAGTACTAATCCTACTACTACTAGTGCAACCACCACCAGGTGCACATCAACAAGTACTATGAAGAAATGGATTGCCTCCTCCTCTCCCTTCTTTTCCAGCCCGTTAGTAGTAGTACTACTACTAGTATTTCACCTACTAGAGATCAGCCGCGAGAGATAGAGCAGTGGTCCAGCCCAAATTGTGGTAGCCGATTGCATATGCTGAGGAATGTGTTTTTCCAATTCTTGCATCGATTGCAGAACTCATCCAAAAAGGAACTCGGCGGCAATGGGGCCAGCCATGTCCAATATCGTGAACATTGCCCTCCTGTCTGCCGGTCCACCCACGTGTCCCGTGTCCAATAGCTCACGAAACAAAAAACACTCATTGTCCGAGTCCCCGAAAAAGCGTTGGCACTTGTCCAAGGAGATGCAGTCGTCCCTGTCGCCACAGACAACGAGAACGGGTGTTTTGCGGTGTGCTCGAAGCAGTTTCTGCTTTGCTTCGTCGGGTTCCAATTCGAATCCTCCGCCGTGGAGCCGGCGGAAAAAGTTTGTAAAGAAACTCCGATCGTGCGGTGCGTAGGTGAGCTCGCGCTGCCGGTGGACCCCGGCAAGCACCACGTACGGCAGCTTGGTCGGATAGAAACCACCGGCGGAGGTCGTGAAGAATTCTTTGCATTCCGGCAGGGTTTCCCAACCGTGAACCTTCCTGGGATCTTTAGTCGAGAGAGCGTTAAAGTCGTCGTCCATCGTGTTCTCCAGTGCGGGCGCGAGCAATACGGCGCTTCGATACGTGCCGGGAGATTTCTGGGCCAGCATCTGGAAGCATATCGCCCCGCCCATGCTGTACCCGAACAGGTTCAACGGGATTTTTGTCTCGCTTGTTTTTCCGAGTCCCACGGCTTCGACAAACGCAAGCGCATAATCCACGGTCTGCTGCGGCTTCGGAAAGGTCTTGCCGTCGAAATTTTCGACGTTCTTTCCGTGCAACGGGAATTCCATGATGCAGACCCGGGTTTCCGGTGAAAGATTCATCGCCGGGATCAGCTGAGCCATAAAGGTGGCTTCCGCCGTAAATCCCGGTACAACAAGAATGTCCTGGCAGGTCGAGTTCCCTCTGGATCGAGAAGTCTTTCGCAAGTTGCGTTCCAGATAGTGAGCCCGGACGACCTGGCCATTGACTCGCATTTCCACGGATTTCGGAACCATCCCAGCATATGCAACGAAAACCTTGAAAAAGAGCTGATTGATCAAGTGAGCGATGTCAGCAAAAGCTACAGATAGCGTTTGCTTGAAGATGACAGCGCCTCCAACAACCACACATGCGCCGATTGCTGTCGCTCCCATTGAATGATCCATTAGTGCCATCGTTTTGAATTCCCAGCAAAAAATTAGGTAAGTTCCCGACCAACAGATGATGGTATGAGGTTGTAATGTGATCACAAAGATACCGAAAGGCCTGTTATTTGAATTGCGCGATTGCGCCTCACGAATGAAAACGGAACCAGCGTGATGAGCAGAAAGCGAGTTGTGTGCATCATCGTTCACGAGTTGACTACGTGTAGGTACGTACGTACTGGTACTCGTACCCGTACGTGCGAAAATTCAGGGGTCATAATGAAAGATACGGGACTGGCAATACTGTGATGAGCGATGAATGTGACTTACTTGGAGTGCATTACTAGTATGGTACTGTATTAGATGCAGTAGCATAATTCTATTTTTAGGGTGCATAGTAATTACAGTACTTCGTAGTAGTACATGCAAATCAGTAAGCATTTTACTCACTTACACGTGTATTTATTCAGTTTGTCATACCCAATATATAGATATGACCATGGGATTTATGGAAAAAGAACAGTTAATGGCAATCAAAGCTGCAAAAAAGAGAGGTCAATAGACCCACCAATCAAGTTCCTCATAATGTTCCTCAACAAGTGGGATGATTTTTAGGACTCATTCATGTCATAGTAGTAGTACCTAAAGTGCATCACAGGAGCTGCAACCTGTGCACTGCCATTTGTCATACGTGAAAACACAAAACCAGATACAAGTGATAGGCAGAGAGATATTAACTCAATTGACACTAACCAGTGGTATACTACTATATTAAATGCACAGTACATGGGAGATGCACCATGGTATTGTGAAGATAACCGCAGAGTCTGGGAAGATCTCAAATCAGCAGCATTCTTCACTACCACTGTGGTGTGAGAGTCTATCAACTATTATGACAACACACAAGATGACGGGAAGGCTTGGTTTGCCCTCAAGAAGGAGGGGGAGACAAGTAACTCCAGTGAGATCAAAATCAACAAAGCATGGAAGATAATCAGTGATACTACTAGATGGAATGCACCAAGGCACAACTGGACATTTGATATGTATGTGGCAAAATATCAAAAACAAGCATTATCATAATGACCTCACAATTGAAGATGAACCAATATAGGAAACTAAGAAGAAAGTTAGGGACTTTCTAGCCAACATTAATTATGGAAGGTTAGTAGAAGCAGCAAAGAGCTACATCCATGGTAGCAAACTTCATAAAACCAACTTTACTGAATGCCATCAGTACCTCAAGATACTACTGACAAGCAGGAATTATGCTGCAGATGCATCCAGTGGTGGTGGCACTCATCAGACAAGCAATTTAGTATCAAGCATCAATCAGAACAACAACAGTGGACCTAAGTTCAAAGGAAAACTAAAAGTCAACCACACATATCCAAGGCATATATACATACAGTTTACATCTGAACAGCAAGCAGAACTTAAAAGGCTCACCAGGAAGAATGATGCCAAGCTGAAAAAACAAATTGGTAACACCGGCAACAACTCTGGTGGTGATGGCACGACAAACAAACAAAGACAACAGGCAGCTACTGTAGCAGCTCGTAAACGCAAAGAACATGACAGTGGTGATGAAGTTAAAACTATAGTAACCACCATCAAAGAACCAGAATCATCACAACCTAACACATCTTCTGGCCATTGGTTTGGATCAGCAGCACACAGCAAGAAGCAAAAGACAGAATGAATAATAGATGCTTGTACAGTTGGTGGTGGTTGTGTTATCCGTACTACACTTGTTGGAGCACCAGGTAGAAGAATATGCAATCCTTTCAGTACCCAGAGGAGTTACAGGAGCAAGGATAATCACCAAGAGCAATTACTTTCATGGAATGCCTATTGAATAAAGCAGTTTCATTGAATTTGTTGTCCGTAGGATATCAGACCGTGGGTATGATTCATACATACGACACGTACATACGATACGTAT